TCTTTTACCAAAAAAGCATCTCGTTTTCACAATGTTGACATTTGGTCGCTCAGAGTTTTGTCCATTTTGAAAATAAAAAGTGCGACTATAAAATAAGCGGTCCTTTATAAATTGTAGAGCTTTTCACGCTGCATCTTGTGGTATATTGTGTTTTTTAATACAACCTACTAAGTGATAATAAAATGAAATGCAAAAATTTGGGTGTGGGTGTGGATGTGGGTGTGAGTGTGGATGTGGATGTGATTGACACCCAATCCACACCCACACCCACCCACACCCCACACCCTGCGCTAACACAAAATTAATATTATCTCTATTCTATTGATAATTGTCTTTATAGCTCGAAGAAAATCGAACTATGAAGAGAGGAAACATATAGGAATCATCTATGGGAACAATTTCATCGATACAAACATCGATTATTAAGTTCTCTTGTTCTAGTCATCCTTGCTATACCACGTCTAATCATTTCACTTGTTTCAGCATGTATGAAATCAGCCCAAAATCCTTGGCTATATCTCAGTGCTTATTTCATTTCATTCGTTTCACCAACGCTTCTGTTCATAATCTTTATTTTACCGTCTAGATTCTATCGAAAAGTATTCTCTGAAGCTACTGTTCGTCTTAGACAAACGACTCAGCACCACTTTCGCCGTGAATAATTATCCTAATCGCAAATAAATAATCTTTTACATAGACTAATTTGAAACTAAACTTGAAAACAATATGTTTTTATTGTTTTGGCCATATTCTGTGCAGAGTTGCAATTTAATTTTAAGAAAATAAACAGTTTCTTTTCATGCCTACATATAGTTATCAAGGTATGGATGTGTGGGTACGCATATGCATAGAAAAAGAAAATATATACCCAAACTAACAACCATTTTGTGTTTTTTAACATAAGATAATGATGTTGAAGTGAGGATATCATTTTAGATAACAGCCACGCCATTTTTTACAAAAAATCAAGTTAGTTTTTATTAAATAATAACACAAAGCACTACTTCCTTCACTTTGTGTGATTGACTTGTTTCGTAGTTAATGTTTCGATGTTTGAATTTTTGAAAATAAGTTTTATAACATTTTTCAATTACAATTGGTACTTTGTGCTTCCAATTTTTTCACTATTAATTTCTAAATGACGTTTCTTTGTGGTTTCCTATTGATTGGTTTATTAGAATTTATATTTTGATTTCAACAATATTGATGGAGGCTCAGCTTTTTCATTTTTATTGCTGACCATAAGTATTTATTGGTTTTCATATAATGTTAAACAATTACATAGTCTATGATAATAGGGTAAAATGAGTATTGTACTAATAATAGTCTTACACAGGGTGATATATCTGCCATCTGCTTAGACTTTACTTTCAGTAAATTCGACAAGCAGAGCATCAAATTGTGCACATTCTTATGTATTCATTTTATCTTTTTAGAGACCACCAGTATCAGAGAATCTATCACTTTGTGTGTTTCAAATGATAACTATAATATCCATAATTTCGTCTTTTATAAATCTAATATGAAAACCAGTAGTATGGGTCAATATTGTTTTAATTCTCTACATAATCACATATTGATCATGTTTACCGTTAACATTCTTTCTAGATTATGCAACGTGAAATAGATACGATAAGATACCGATAGACATGGATGGGGTGTGAGGATGCTTATCTCATAATAGACGAAGCAAAATTCCAAAATTGACCTGTCCTAATATCGATGGTTAAGGAGATCAAATGAGTGCAAAATTTCTATGAGTAGATCGTTTGTTGGTAATTCGAACTTTTGTATATTACTTTTCTGAATGTGAAAACTAGACCCTTTCTATGATATTGCTTTATTATTTAAATTGAAGTTATTGAATGCTGAATTTGTAAATGTATCTTCATATTCTTTCTAAACATGAATGAGTGATTATTGTACTTATCTTAGTTGTACTATATTTGGAAAACAATTGAATTTGCTCATTTATAATAAACTGCCGAATCAAAATGTGAGTAACATTCATGTCTCCACTCACTTCTAAATGTTCCTTGGTTCAGCGCAAGAGCGAATGAAACAGTTTGAGTGCAGATAAGAATGTAGACAAGAACTACTCCCATTCGTATTTAAAACCACGTCCCACACCCACGTTTGACATTAAATGTTTTGTGCAACGCTTCTGTTATGTTTGTTTTTGTTCGACATTAAGCAAAACAATGCGTTTGTCAATGATAAGAGATAGATCTATACTTTGCATGAAGAGAACACTCATAAATATCATTTATATAAAGTTTAGTTAAAGATAAAACAAGCATAGATTCGCAACGCAATGACAAAAAGAGTCACCAAAGAAGAAACCATCAAGTAAGATGAAGAATTTTATCTGATATTTTTTTTAAATATCGTTCAAAATCTGTAGTTTAAAATCTTTCACAAGCCACCAAACTTCTGCTGTTCATCCGTAAGGTTCCTATTTTATTTCAACAATTTTGATCGTTAGTTTGTTTTTCATTTTCAAGATTGCAGCAGAGCCAACAGTCAAGTAACAATCTATACAATTACTTATTGTTTGTTTTTTATTGCTTCTTTATAGGAGTTAACTTGAATTATCGACGTTTATTTACTAAAGAAGGTGATATTAATCTGATCAGGTATATCATTCAGTATTTGTATGCATCCATCGACGTTGTTTGTTCTAGGTTAAATATTGAACAACGGCGTCATCGACATTTACGAGATTTCTTTACATCATTATTGGAGTTCGGATGGTGTTCGATTTTAAGCTTGCTGGCATTGTCATTTGTCCTTTCCTGGCTCATCTTTGCTGGATTTTGGTTTCTCATCATGCATATTCATGGTGACTTTTCTCATAATTCAGCAAATAGTACTTGGATACCATGCGTGGCTGGCGTGAGAACATTAGTAGGAGTCGTTCTTTTTTCAATTGAAACTCAACAAACGATCGGCTATGGTACAAGGTCAGTGACCGAACAATGTGAAAGTGGTGTTATTCTTCTAGCAATTCACACTTGTTTTGGTCTCGTGATGCAAGCATTGTGGGCTGGTATTGACTATAGTAAGCTGGCTCGACCGAAAAATCGTCGTCGCACTCTGATTTGGTCTCGACAAGCTGTCATTTTTCTTCGTGATCGATACTTGACACTTCAGGTTCGAATTGCTGATATTAGACCACGATCGACTTTAGTTGAGGCTCATGTTCGAATGTACTTCATCGCTGAACGAGTCACGAATGAGAAAGAAAAGATTCCATTGAATATACTGGATATGAATGTAGGCTTGGATACTGGTCGAGATCGTCTGCTTTTGATGTGGCCATTAACTATCGAACACCGTATTGATTTCAAGAGTCCACTCTAGCTTATGGACAAAAAACAATTAGCAACAGCTAGATTTGAAATCTTAGTTGTATTTGAAGGGATCATTGAATCTACCGGATCAACAACACAAACGAGAACATCTTATATACCAAGTGAAATTATCTGGGGAGCAAGTTTTGACTCCATCTTTCGATCTGATTCGCATGGAGACATCACCGTGGATTATTCTAAATTCAACTCAATTGTATTAGATAGTCGGACACCAGATTACTCAGCTAAACAGTTAATAGAAGAAAACGAAAACTGAGCTTTCATGTTGTGCATAATTAATACACATTGGAGTGATTTTTCAAATATGATACAAACACTATAAAAATGTAACATTCACTCAGTGATTGTAATCAAATCAATATACCAAAAAACAGTTGAACAATGTTTCGCCTGGGGTGTGGGTGTGGTGTCAGTGCGGTTGTGCGTAGGTATGAGTGTAGATTTAGGCCAAGTGTATAAACAAGATGCGCATCCACACCCGCAACTTCAAAGGAGCGGAAATGTGGAACTTGCGTATATCGTTTAAACTTATTGTCGTGATGCCTGATTTTTAAACTGTAAAATAGCTTTTTTTCGAATATTTATGAAAGTATGATATAGAATCTAAAGCCTTTTCTGTACGGTTGTTGAGGTCTCTAATGATGACTTGTCTGTAATGGAAAGGGGAAGGCGGGGCTGCCAAGAACTGGAATTTAAAACTTACACTCATTATTTTAGAAAATATATCTGATTTCCAAAAAATAACATAATCAAAGCTATATAATCAGAAATATTGCTGAATGATTTAAAAAAGATTTACTTTAACTTTTACTATCCAAAATACGTCGACTTAAAGGAATTAAAATGTTACTTTTATAAAATTTGGAAAAAAATGATTAAATTTTTTCTTTTTACATTTATTTCTATTCTAATGATTTTCACAGATGAATTCCTACTTAAAATGAAGGCAATTGTATCTACGTTTATCCTTCGTTGTTTCATACCATGTTCCTCTTTCCATTGCTGCTTCTTCGCGCTCTGCATAACAGAAAAACACAAAATTCTAAACCGAAAGAACTTTTGGCAGTGACTCTAAAACAAATGAACATTTCCTCGAACATCCAACGCTCTGTTAGAAACTCATACAGGTGTGCATATGTTAGGCCTTCATACAATGCGTCGATAGAAGTGCCCGTTTAATCATCGTTTCCTTTCGAAAGCGATGACCATGAATGTACTAGTCATACAAACATAAATATATGTTTGCCTAATTATTCTTGATTTCGACCATTGTGCAAACCAACTAAATACGGAAGATTTTCTTAGTTGCACCTACATGAAATCTTGCAACTTTTTTGCTTTGGCAAGTCAATTGTTCAAGATGCCTAGTTTATTTTCTTGGTTAAAATAAAAATCAGAGTTTTTTCTTTAAATTTTCAACATCTCTTTGTGACTTAACAACATTTGGATGCGTTGGAGGAAGACTTTGTTTCAAGATTTCGTATGCTCGTTCGAGAAATGAAAGTGCTTTTGAGTATTCTCCCATCTTCTCATATAGTATACCAATGTCACTGTAGGATTTTGACAAATCGAGATGATTTGAAGAGAGAGCTATTTTCTTGATTTCAAGTGATAGTTCATACGATACCAATGCTTTCGAGTAGTCACCCATCTTATCATACACCATACCGATATTATTGTAGTCAGAAGCCAAGTCGATATGATTTGGTGCAAGATATTTCTGGTCGATATCAAGTGCCTTTTCGTAATATAAAAGTGCTTTCGGGAAGTCACCCATATTTGTGTACACTACACCGACGTTATTGTATGAAACAGCCAAGTCAGGATCATTTGGCGGAAGAGCTGTTCTTCTGATTTCAAGTGATCTTTCGTGAGATAAAAGTGCTTTCATGTAGTCACCAATTTTTGCATACACTATACCAATTTTATGGTAGGAAGTAGCCAAGTTGGGATGATTCGGAGGGAGAGCTATTTTCCTGATTTCAAGTGATCGTTCGTACGAATAGAGTGCTTTAGAGAGCTCGCCGACTTCATCATACACTCTACCGACGTTGTCGTAGGAATTTGCTAACAAGGGATGATTCTCAGGGAGGGCTATTTTCTGGATTTCTAGTGATTGTTCGTACAATGAAAGTGCTTTTGAGTACTCGCCAATGTAGACATACACTGCCCCGATATTATTGTAAGAAGCAGCCAAGTTATGATGATTCAGTGGAAGAGCTATTTTCGTGATTTCAAGTGATCGCTCGTAAGATGAAAGTGCTTTGACGTAGTCACCCATTTTTGTACACAGCATACCTATCTTGTTGTAGTAAGAAGCCAATTGTGGATGATTCGGAGGGAGAAATTTGCTTTGTATATCAAGTGTTCGTTCGTATGATGAAAGTGCTTCAGATAGCTTGCCGACTTTATCATACAATCTACTAATGTTTTCGTAGGAAATAGCTGACAAGGGATGATTCTCAGGGAGAGCTATTTTCTGAATTTCTAATGATCGTTCGTACGATGCAAGTGCTTTCGAGTATTCGCCCATATCAAAATATACCATACCGATGTTGTTGTACAAACCAGCCAAGTCAGGGTGATTCGGCGGAAGACCTATTCTTCTGATTTCAAGTGATCTCTCGTACGAGGAAAGTGCTTGCGAGTACTGACCCATGTGAGAATATACATTACCGATGTTGTTGTAGGAAACAGCCAAATCAGGATGATTTGGTGGAAGAGCTATTGCTCGGATTTCTAGTGATCGTTCGTACGATGAAAGAGCTTTCGAGTACTCGCCCGTGCTGGAATATACATTACCAATATTGCTGTAGCAACTAGCCAAATAGGGATGATTCTCATGGAGAGCTATTTTTTGGATGTCTAGTGCTTGTTCGTAAAATGAAAGTGCTTTAAGGAACTCGCCCATTCTAAAATACACTCCACCAATGTTGTTGTAAGAAGCAGCCAATTCAGGATGATTTGGAGGAAGAAATATTTTATTGATTTCAAGAGATTGCTCGTATGATGAAAGCGCTTTTGAGTACTCGCCCATGTTTTGATACGCTGTGCCAAGCTGAAGATTATAACTTGATCGTTGTTCATGGGAAGTGGCATTTTCAAGGAGCACCTTATAGAGATGTTCTGCTTTGGCAGATTCACCAGTTTGAATAAGTATATGAGCGAATCGAGCCCATCCTGTTGCCCACACGAACTCTTCTGGCAGATGTGCTGTAAGTTTGTTGAAATCGTCATCTTGATTACCAATGATAGTGAGATGAACTTCCCATAAGCGATCAGTATTCTCGTCTTCGATTCGTTCGATGCGATCAATACGAAAAATCGTATGTGTTGAGAAGAGTATTTCTTCCTCTTGGTTTTTATAGTAGCTAATTTCGCTCAGTTTGGCAAATGGTATTGATGATTGTGCGCAAATACCTGTGTCAATGTTCATAACGAAGAGAATGCCCACTGAATTTGAATTCATTATAGCTGGTCGTGCAAAGCTGTTCAGAGAAACGTCACGATTGCGACTCGTTGACAGGAAATTATTGAAAGACATAAGTCCCCCTTCAGTTTTTTTCATTTTATCGAAGTCCTCTATGGATAAACCTTGTCCGCGAAAGACTTGAAAGTTTCTTTGCACACTGTCTTGCTGTTGATGATGTAACTCTGCGATATGGTTATGTAGATGTCGGATGAAGAAACTCATTTTCATAATGATGTCAACATCCATTAGTCGAAGGCCACAGTTGAGCATTGAGTAAATAAAATATGGGCCCGTATACCACCAAATGGGTGAATGATTACGATATTCTCTTTCGATCTTTTCAAGTGTTTGTTCGGAAGCATCCCCTTCAAGACGACAATATTCAACGAATTCTTTAATAGTTTTTGTATCATCATCTTCTATATCCAAAAGCGCTTCTTTCAACAATTGTGTATACATGAATAATGGGTCAATACGATTAAAACTGATCGGTATCATAGCTCGATCATGAACTTCATGATCGATTCGTAATGCGTCACAGATCGGTTCAATTTGTGTGTACACACCTTTCACTTTAGGTATTGCTTTGATCCATTCCTCATGAATCAATTGATTGTCACATAAAGCATAAATGGAGATTAATTGTGGATATTTTTGAATTTCTACGATTATATGTTGTCCTAGCACACTCGATACAATCATGAATACTTTTTCATTTTCAAGTTTACTAAGAAAATTCATACATTCATCAACGTCTGTAAATGTAATGACTGAAACAAGAATATCACGTAGATGTTCTATTGCTTTTTTATACTGGTCTTTGAATTCATCGAGATCGGTATCAAGCCATATCAACAGAGAGTTTTGAAGCGAACGACGAACAGGTCGTGGCAGCATAGCAGCATGCTTGTTCGTGTCGATCACAGTGTTGGTACTAGACATTTCTGCTTCATCATTGATAATAGTTGCTGTCGTTTTTTGCTTATTCATGATTCCTAAATCAATGAATACAATTAGTGAAACGAAGTCCTCCTGTAATTATTATTGTTAAATGATTTTAGATTAACATCGTTCCTTTTCTGAATTGTGGCTACGACATGCACAGACCTCTACTGTCTCGACCATTTTTGTTTTAGGAGTCTTACTGGCAAAGCCGTGGTAACAGATTAGCCAAGTGTCTACATATCAGGCTAGAAGTAAGGAAGCATGACTTAGGAAACAAATAATTGCTAAACATGGACAGTATAACTATTTCAAAACATTGAAAATGCCTATCCTAACTAGTCATCGTACCAAGAAAGGTCCTGCAGTTACGTTTGCATCAGTCTAGAGTGTCCGTGAATTTCGGCATGTCTGACTCATTTTATCTCTCTAACCTGTCTAGATCAGTCTGTAGCATAGAGCAAGTAAAAATCATATCTGTCATTCTTGGTAGTCGTGTTGAAAAATATGCATAGTAATAGTTACTCTGTTTCACATGGTTTAAAATAAAACTTTTATGCATATGAGATTTTGAAACCAAGAGAACCGATTGCATATTCTGAGTGTCAGCAAATGGAACTCTCTTAAAACTACTTTATATTTATCATATACCACATTTTTATAATCTGTCTTTTTTCTTCGTGTTGACAACCACTGCTTATTTTTAACTGTAATTTTCTTACTAGTCTAATTATGTTAGAAACTAAATATACTTACGTGCTATATGATATTGGAGTGTAGCAAATTTTGTTGTATATGACTGCAATCGATTTTATTCTGTATTTATTACTCACGACATTACTTGCGTTTATTTTCGCAAACGTTTATGTGCATGAATCCATGAAGAATGACCTTCATTACATAGACGACTTTTTTCGCTCCACGTGCTCATCATTACATATATTTCGTTTTTTTTTATATATTCTACGTTTTCTTTTCTTATATTTGTTTCGCATTTTTTTATTATTGCGATGATAAAATACACACTAATATTTGCACATGCATTACATTTGAGTTACGACTATTCATTGAGCTTTGAATTTTATTGTAATCTATATAGACATTTTCTGTCGTAAAATCTGTTTTTGGAATTGATAATTATAGAAGTAGTGCTGAATGCTTCTAAATAAATAAAAATTTTTATATTTTTATTTTATCTCCCTGTTCATGAAATACTCTTTTTACCACCCAAACTTCGTTGGATGGATTCAAAGAAAGTATGGCCAATATCCTTGAAGAAGATTTTAGATCTATCCAGAGGTTAACAATGAGTTTCGTAAAAATCCAGTTTGATACTTGTCTTTGTCCTTAAGTGAAGAAATTTCAGCGTTAACTAATTTCCATTGAATATTCAGAAAAAACAATTCAGTCTAAAGAAACTGAGAAAAAACTAAATCATATTAGAATTGAGAGATATTTTAACACTTTATCATTTCATAATCGTACTCGCAGCAAATCACTAGGGACTTCGAGCCTTAACAAAGATGTTGGAAGGGTGAATCCTTTCTTGCTCATGCATAATTCCGGTAACTTACGAAGGAAGGTCCCCAAGTGATTAAAAGCTTTAGAGCCCATGTTTTGCCCAGTGGTAGGGGACCCTTAGACTAGAACAAACCCCAAAGAGTTTGTCCAGAGATTGAGTTTTCATTGAGATATTGAATTGGGAAGTTACAAGTATTCTAAGCATGTTTCACTACATTTTATTTTTCTGCATATTTTATCTGCTATCGTTTTCAAAAAAATGATTCTTTTCTCTTGGTTTGTCGCTGGTTATACAGACAAACATCCCGGTGATTTTCTAACCGTGAAAGATGTCTGTTTTGATTTTGATCCTCATGTGTGCCATGTCTCTGGCTGTTATCATTCTTCGTTTGTTAATTGTGCTCATTGAAGACAGTTGTTTTGTGAATCTCATTTCTTCGAAGAATATCATTTTCATTGCTAAACAATCTCTTGTATCAAAAATAAATGCAACAAGTAGATTGACCATTTAGATTTTAAGTAGTAGACAAAGTTTTCTTCAAGGGAAGTGGAATAATGTTACGATTTGATAAGGTGGTATTGATGAACTATAAAAGCTTTACTCTCTTAGCAGAATCAAAGGATCATGTCAGCTAATCATGAAAAAATTTTCAAGTTATATCAACCCTTAGCTAAAATATGCAGAAAAATAAAATGTAGTGAAACATGCTTAGAATACTTGTAACTTCCCAATTCAATATCTCAATGAAAACTCAATCTTCGGACAAACCCTTTGGGGTTTGTTCTAGTCTATGGGTCCCCTACCACTGGACAAAACATGGGCTCTAAAGCTTTTAATCACTTGGGGACGTTCCCTCTTTAGTATTGATCAAGATTACAAAAGATATCGATCATAAAATCTTAATATGAATCCGAATAAAACAATACAGAATTTTATTTTGTTCAAATATTCTGATTTGCCATGTTTTCAATATGTTGAATCTAAATTATGCGTATCAAGTGTAGAAGATATTTATTAGAACAGACAAAATGGTGTGTCTATTCATATATAATCTGTATTATGAATTGATGAAGAGGAACTTAGATTAACACGTTTTAGATAGAAAGTCACAACTCCATCTGAATGATCTATTAATAAATTCTTTGATTATATAACCACATACAGATAGTATTGTACTATTAACTAATGAATTCAATACTTGACAAACAATTTGTCTGTATATGACACGTATAGAGAATGTCATTGAAAAATATCACTATTAAATTTTTTTTCTAATAGAAAAAAAAAAAAACTTATTGAAACGTGACAATCATCTTTGTTGCCTAGTTATGTCACAAAGAATGTTAACCTTCAAAAGGTATATCGAATGATTTGACTTTTTTCCTTAATAAAATATTCACTGTTTCCACAGAATATTTGAGATCGTTCGAAGATGAACATCGTTATTTTGTTGAAAATATATTTGCTATCAATAATAATTAATGGTTAATTAATTATTCATGATACTGATGAATTAATTAACGGTCATAGTTTACAGTTTGATTGTCTATATTATCGTGTAACTAAAGAAAAATTAGCTTATCAAGAATTATCAAATATAATCAACGAATTAATTCCACATTGTTTTCGACCAATAAATACAAGCGAAAGTTTATTTCGAAATCTTGTTAATAAACGAGATCAATATTTAACATTTGAAGAATTACGTATTTCAAATATAAGCATAGAAGAATTAATATCATGGTCAGCTCCAATTGATTTAGTTGAAAAATATCAATTGTATTTAGATGAAATGGATTTATCGTTATCTAATGAATTATATTATAATTGTTCAAAACCATGGTTTGGTTTAAAATGTCAATATTCATTTGAATATAGTGAATATATGTCAATAAATGATATTGTTGAAAATGAATTTAATATTAAATAAATCATTAAATGATTCATCAAATATGTCGATAGAATTACCATGTTATATTCATATAAAATGTGATCGTGGTGACAAACCATTCTGTCTTGATTGGCGTGAAGTATGTGATGGATGTATTGATTGTATGAATGAAGGTTTAGATGAAGCATATTATTTTGATATGGCAATAAATGAATGTGAAGAAAATGAATATCGATGTCATAATGGTTTATGTATTCCAGAAAAATTTTAGGAAAATGGTTTTGGTGATGCAGATTGTCTTGATCGTTCAGATGAATTCACTGATGTTTCATATCCAAATAATTGTTTTCAAGATCCAACATTTCGTTGTGAAGAACATTCATGTCGAACTAATTGGCGTGATTTTCCATGTGGAGATGGACAATGTGTGCAAACATTTAATAAATGTCATAATGGACGTCATCTTTCATTAATTAAATCAATATCAAATCAAGGTTATTTATCAATTAATTGTTCAATTGCGATGATGTGTCTAACTAAACTTATTAAACAAACTCATGGAATATTATGTGAAACATTATTTCTAAATAATTTTATTTATGATTATATTAAATATTGTGATTTTATATTTCAATTTCCTATAAATCCAGTATATTTAAATCATATCCGTTTTTTATATGAAAATATTTCAGAAAAAACAAATATAAAAACATCAATTATACCTGATTATATTTGTTATGATGAACAACTTTGTGATTGTATTAATCCAACATATATCTATAAAATTTTAACTTGTTTACATAGTTCTTTACTAGATTTAATGTGAAGTATTAGTGGGTGTGGGTGAGTGGGTGTGAGTGTGGGTGTGGGTGTGGGGTGTGGAGTGTGGGTGTGGGTGTGGGTGTGGGTGTGGGTGTGGGTGTGGGTGCGTGTGGGTGGTGTGGGTGTGGTGTGTGAGTGGGTATGGGTATGGGTGCGGATGAAGACATACAGTACACCCACACCCACCCATACACACACCCACACACCCACACCCACACCCACACTCCCACCCCCACACCCACACCCATCCACACCCTCAAGGTAGAAAAATAACCATAGTAATCATGAGTAAAATTATGAAAAGTTCATCGTTTTTTTCCAATTTTTCTTTCTAATAAACTAGAAAAAATCGCCGCATCATATGAATTCTGTTAAGAATTCAATGCGCTTCCTACCTTTCAATATGAACAGTTTTGAATATGATTTCGTTTCTTCGCTTTATTATTTTTGTGCCTTTCCTTCACGTGAATAGAGAAATAAGTCAAAAAAGAACAGAAATAAAAAAGAAGCACAAGCTGACAAATAGTGTTGTATGGAGCTGTAGATGAAATTATGAATATGCTTTACTCATTTCAACTATCTTGTGGGTATGGGGTGGGTGTTGGTCTGGGGGTGTGGGTTTAGGTGTGAATGAAATACAGATACCCACACGAACACCCCACCCTCTTATACTTTGTCTATAATTTCTTCTGCTTTGCAGAGATCATTGTGCACAAGAATCGACATAGACAGAGCCATGTAGTGAAGACGCTTGAGTATGATCGAAATCTTGTTCGTGACATGCTCCACTCACTCTTACCCCTTCCCTTTATGTACTTTTACACAATATGGTTAAATGTTGGAAGAAAGAAAAATTATTGAAATAATCGACGAAAGAAAAAGAAGAGAGAATACGTGGCATATAAATAAACAAGTAGACGGCTTATTTTTCAGATTTTTCTTGTGACGAGACAGTCAATAGAACACGCTGAGACGCTTAATTGAAAGCGAAAAACGAAAATGAAGGCAATAAGAAAAAAATAAGTAGAGAAATCTAAGAGGAAGAAAAATCCAACATATTACTAATATAAATTCAAGCGTTTTTTTATTTATCAGACAGCGAACAGTATGGATGAAAAGAGCAAGCCATTTTATACTCGTAGAGTCCAAAATTTCCTCCTTGTATGGTTGGATGAAAGTATCGACAATACAAACAATCAAGATTGCTGCAATTCAATCATACAACTACAGCAGGCAATCAATACAGTTAATATATTCACTGATGCCGATGAATGTATTGATTTTATTACCGACATTAAAGAAGAAAAGGTCTTCTTCATTGTCTCCAAAACATTTAGTCAAATTATTGTTCCTTTTGTTGAAAGCATTCAACAAGTAAGTTATGTTTACATTGTTTGTGAAAATAAGATTGAATATGAACAGTGGGTGAAACAATGGTCCAAAGTAAAAGGTGTCTTCACTAATATCATACAGATTTATGAAGCACTGAAAAAGGATGTTCAAAAATGTGAACAAAATATGGTCTTCATGAGTTTCATCAAGTCGGATGATAAAGCTGAAAAAAAGAATCTCGATGAACTCGACCAATCCTTCATGTATACGCAGATACTGAAGGAAATTCTACTTAGTATTGACTTCCAAGAAATTCATATTAATGAATTTCTTAACTACTGTCGTGAACAATTTGTTGGTAATATTACTGCATTACAAACTGTCGAAAAACTCCGCAAAGAATATCATGACCACTCACCAATTTGGTGGTATACTTGCGACTGCTTTCTTTATTCCATGGTAAATAGAGCACTACGAACAATGGAAATAGATCTTATCATACGAATGGGATTCTTCATTCGAGATCTACACCAACATCTCGTCCGCCTATACTCTGAACAATACGGTGAACAAAACTATTCGAATTCTTTCACCGTATTTCGCGGGCAAGGTTTGTCCAAGACGGACTTTGATCAACTCATCAAATCAAAAGGCGGATTAATATCCTTTAATAATTTTTTGTCCACAAGTCTTGATCAACTAGTATCCTTTGCCTTCGCTGAAAGTATTCTATCTGATCCTGATTTAATAGGTGTCTTCTTCAAAATAGCTATCAATCCTTCAACACCCTCGATTCCTTTCGGCAACGCTATCAACGACAGTTATTTTAAGACAGAAGAGGAAATTCTCTTCTCCATGCATTCCGTTTTTCGTATTGAAGAGATGAAGAAAATAAACGGAGATGAACGTTTCTGGCAGGCCAACCTAACACTAACCAGCGATAACGACCCACAATTACATGAACTGACTGAGCGCATACGAAAAGAGACATTTCCCGATCAAGAAGATTGGTATCAATTAGGTGCAGTGCTCTTTAAATTAGGCCAGTTTAACAAAGCCCAAGAATTATATAATATACTAATTGAACGGCCTAATAGTGAAGATGAAAAAGGCCACTTATATCATATGTTAGGAATTGTCAAGAATGGACAAGGAGAATATATAGAAGCAATTACATTACTTGAAAAGTCACTTAAAATCTTTCAAAAATATCGTCCTCCAAACCATCCTGATCTTGCTATTTCTTACGTCTCTCATGGTCTCATCTATGACAACATGAGCGAGTATCCCAAAGCACTTTCGTATTATGAAAAAGCTCTTGAGATCTGGCAAAACACTCTTCCTTCAAATCATTCTGATTTGGGTACGTCTTATAACAACATCGGCAGGCTGCATCATAATATGGAAAACTATCCAAAAGCACTTTCATATTATGAAAAAGCCCTTGATATCTGGCAAAAAACTCTTCCTTCAAATCATCCTGACTTAGCCACTTCTTATAATAACATCGGTTTTCTATATGACAATATGGGCGAGTATTCAAAAGCACTTTCATATTATCAAAAAGTGATGAAAATTCAACAAAAAGTTCTTCCTCCATATCATCCTGCTTTAGCTACTTCTTATAACAATATCGGTATTTTATATTACAAGATGGGCGACTATTCAAAAGCACTATCATACTATGAAAAAGCACTTGATGTTCGGCAAAAAATTCTTTCTCCAAATCACGTCAGTTTCGCTATTTCTTACAACAACATTGGTATTTTGTATGGGGACATGGGAGAATACTCGAAAGCACTTTCATATTACGAAAAAACACTTGAAATTCGACAAAAAACTCTTCTTCCAAATCATTCTGATTTGGCTACTTCTTACAGCAATATTGGTTTCATGTATGACAAAATGGGAAACTATTCAAAAGCACTTTTATTTTATGAAAAAGCACTTGAAATTCAAGAAAAAACTCTTCCGTCAAATCATTCTGATTTGGCTACTTCTGATAACAACATCGGTTTAGTTTATTACAAGATGGGCGACTACTCGAAAGCACTTTCATACCATGAAAAAGCACTTAATATTCGACAAAAAACTCTTCCTTCAAATCATCCTGATTTTGCTCAATCCTATAACAATATCGCTGCAGTTTATAGCAATATAAGGGAAAACTCAAAAGCACTTTTGTATTATGAAAAAGCACTTGAAATTCGAGAAAGAACTTTTCCTCCAAATCATCCTGATTTGGCTACGTCTTATAACAACATTGGTTTAGTGTATTACGATATGAACGACTGCTCGAAAGCTCTTTCATGTTATCAAAAAGCACTTAAAATCATTGAAAAAACTCTTCCCCTAAATCATCCTGATTTGGCCACTTTTTACAACAATGTTGGTTTGGTATATATCGAATTAGGCAAGTACTCAAAGTCACTTTCGTATCATGAAAAAGCAGTTGAAATTCGAGAAAAAGCTCTTCCTTTAAATCATCCTGATTTGGCTACTTCTTATAACAACATCGGTTTGGTATATGAAAACATGCAGGAGTATTCGAAAGCACTCTTATTTCAAGAGAAAGCACTTGAAATCCTAAAAAACACTCTTCCCCCAAATCATCCTGATTTGGCTACTCTTTACAACAATATCGGTAAATTGTATTACAAGACTACCGAATATTCAAAAGCTTTTTCGTTTTTTCAACGCGCTTTAGATATCGGAAATCGTTCACTACCCTCAAATCATCCTAATCTGCAAAGATTTCGAGAAAATCTTGAAACTGTACAAAGGAAATTGTAAATGAGTTTTGTATTTCTTTTAATTTAAAGATAAAGATTAAGAGAAAAATAACATTGACGTTTAGTAATCAAAGTTAAAGATGCGAATACGTGCAAAGAAACTGTTTCTTGTCGATCAGACAAACAGGAACTATGGATGCCGATTTAGCAAATAATGCATGTTCCAATATGAACATTTATCATATAAAAAGGCTATTGCGGTATTTTTTTGGGTCACACCCACGTCCAATAATCCAGCAAGAAAACATTCAGTTTTGGGCTATTTCACGGATTTCATGAAAGCAGTATTTCGGACCGGAATTAAACGATTTTTTTTTCCGTCACCATTCCTCTGGGTGCCGCTGTGGGTGGGGGTGTAGTTACCGGTGTGATATTCATTTGATACTAATACCCACACCCACACCCACACCCACACCCACACCCACACCCACACCCCACACCC